CAGCCTCCTCGCCCCTCTTGATGCACAACGAACAGCTGGGGGGTTTCTGCTAGGAAGCCACGAATGGCAGCTGCAGAGGGGGGGAAGCCGAAAGGCGGGGGGGGATCTCCTGTCTCACTCCTGTCCTGCCCCCCCGTGCAATCACGCCACCAAGGATGCCCTCGGGTACCCTGTCTCTGTGCCCCCGGCTCACCTGCGTACGAACTTGGAGGTGAACTTGCTGAAGAGACTCCCGGAGGCCCCCCTCCGGCCTTGGCTGTTCCCAGAAGGCGAGGCGGGCGTGAGGCCATAAGGGAGGTTCTGCTGGTCCCGGACCTGCCGGAGCTGCCCGGCGTGAAAGGTGCTGCGGCTCTGGATGCCCCGTGGGAAGTTGGTGCGCTCGGGCGGGGCGCTGCTGATATTGTGGGCTGAGGGGGAGGCCACAGGGGCCCGCTGGGGAGCAGTGCTGTGGGGAAGGAGAAGAGAAAGTTCTTCGGGGAGGCCAAACAGAGAGACCTTCCACCCCTCTGCCCCGGGAGATGAAGTCGGTGAAGGGGAGAAGCCAAGTTCTACCCAAAAATGCTACTTCTGAATTCCCAGGGAGGGGTTGGTGGAAAGTAATATCTCAGGTGGCTTCTCCCCTTGAGGCTGAAGATGGAGGAGGATGTTTCAACAGTGAAGGTGGGGACCAAAGGGTAGCGGGAACTAAATACTGATGTTCTCCAACACCTTCAATCCAGAATAATTCCCAGATCTATCCTGGCAGCTAAACTGAATTATTTCTTTTAAACGGTGGCTTCAGGGCCAGAAATGATGCAAATCACAGGCTCTTGAAGTCTCCCTTTCCTTCTTTCGTCCAATCATGTGTTACTGGATGTCTCAGATCCTGGCTTGGCAAACCACAATGTGAACCACCTGGATGTCTGGACGTACAACTGATTCCCCCCTTCTTGTGCATGGACAGGCAAGCAAACCCAGTAGGGATCAGCGATATCATGACGGTTGAGGGAGCCCAAACAAGCCAGGATCATGAGCTAATCGGATCGGAATGAGCACCCGGGCAGAACTGGAAGGCAGTCCTTGTTCTTCCGTGGGGCGGGCACAGAAAGGAGCAGGTTAAAGAGCCTCCTGCCTGCATCCCAGCTGGTGCAGCGGAGAAGAACTCAGCTGCTTCCTTAAGGGAAGGAGGGAACACCCCAGGACATTCCAGCTGAGTGAAAGGACAGGGGAAGTCCCCCATCTTCAGCCAACAGGATGAGCAACATTTGGGGTCCCTTGTGACCCTGCTTGACGCTGCATGGCACCCAGAGGATCGCTCCCTCTGGGGGCCTCTCCCTCCCTTCAAGCAGGGCAGGTTTCAGGAGAGGAAGAGGGGGAGAACCCCCACCCCCCTCAGCTGCTCTGCTCTGCTCCCCTCTAGGCCCTATGCAGGGGTCGTGGCTCTAGGGCCAGGACAGGACCCAGAAAAATAAAGCTGGGGGAAGCTGGAGAGACCTGGAGGGAGGGGAGAAGGAGGGAGGGAGAGAGGGAGGGAAGACCACTAGGCGCACACAGCTGCCCACTTGCCTAGGTCGCTGGGCCTCGCAGTTATTATCGGTGGGGGGCAGCGTGGGCTTGGAGGGGTGCACCGAGGCAGACATGGATTTCTGGTGTTGTCGCGGGCGCGCGGAGCTCACGGCAGCAGAAGCGGAGGCGGTAGAGGCCCTGGAGCCCGGAGTGGTTAGGCTGGGAGGGAGGTGGAGAAAAAAAAATCAAGCAAGGGGGAAGCAGAAGTCCAAACAAAGGAGAGAAGGGAGGGGAAACAGGGGTGAAGGGGGCTGGCGGATGATATCTGCAGCGGACCCACCCCAGACCACCCACCGAAGTTCCCTGTCTGCAGCTGAGTTGGGGTAGTCTTGGGGGCTAAGCCCTACCACTCCCCTGACCCCAGCCCCAAAGGGCACCTTTCCCCAGAGAAAGGGACTCGTCCCCCCCCCACCAACTCCTCTGATTTAACCTCTCAGCTGTTTATGGAGAAGGATTTATATGAGGTTTATTGAGTTGATTTATATATATTTTCCCCTTCCACCCGGGGTGTCCTCAAAGCCCTTTGCAACGGCCAGAAAAAAAAACAAAACAGGGATATGACCCAATCCCCCAGCTCCAATTGTATATTTTTGTTAAAAACAAAACAATAGTTGGACTGTGGCAAGAAAAAAACCCAAAGGGATGCTTTTTATTGTGGGCTTCCTTCTCTCTTTCCTTCAGCTAAACATTTCCTATTTTCCAAGGTGACGAGAGATCCCCCAACCTCTAGGGTAACCCCTTTTCCAGCATCTCTCTCTCTCACTATCTCTGTCTGCCCCCATCATTTGCTCAAACCTTTCTCTGACAACCTTAAAGCACGACCAGATTGGAACTGGGACTCTAGCAATGGTAAGAGGAGGAGAGGCCAATTAACGGACCTCTTCTGGATATTATTATTATTATTATTATTATTATTATTATTATTACTATTACTATTATTATCATCTATCAATCATCTGTCTGTCTGTCTATTCATTTTATCTATCTATTCCATCTAGCTACCTATCTACCTTCCTTGATGCTTGCTAACAGGTAACACTACCTGCACAGACCAAACGGTTTCCTAGCTCCCAACCCATCCCTTGCTTCTTCAGGCTGGTGAAACTTCTTGGAAATTTAAGCTCTGAGCCAAAAGGGGCCCCGCTATTGACCCTGCCACGCCACAGATATAGCCGCCAGGAGGTCCACAGACATTCTGGGGAAGCAAATATACAATATACAACCCAGTATATATGTATATGAGTCAAGCACAACCTAGATGCAACAGGGGAGGATGGATGTGAATGGAGGCTCTCTGGGGGGAGAGCGGGGGGAACACGGGCAATGGGGGACGGGCGCATGGATGTTCGAGGCTCTGAAGGAGCCACATGGGGGGGGTCCAAAGAAAAAGGCATGAGGGGGTGTGTGTGTGAATGTGTGCATGTAATGGATATGAAGTGATTGCTCCTCGCTATCTAAAGCCAAAGTGATCAGAGCCTGGGGAACGGGCTGTTATGTCAGGAATTCTGGGCAGGGGAGGAAGAGGGGCAGATCTCTCCATTCTTCGCCTGCGGAGTAAAGGAAACTGTCTCTCTCCCCCCCCAAAACGATTTGAGAAGCCCCCCCAACCACCCCCCCATTAGCCCAGGGAGAGCATCAATGGATGCTCTGATGCTACGCACAGGAAAAAGGGATGGTCTTTTTAGCAAGCTGTCCCCTCTGCACCTCCAAGCGTGAGCGGGACAGGAATGCAATTCCTGCCTGTGGGTTTGCTTGCAAGGCTGGATTAAGGCTGTGAGTTGGACTTCTAGGTGGGGCAGTTTATGTCCGCTCCGACTAGCTTGAAAAGAGGTTGGAGCACATTGGGGGGGGGGCGGCGTTATATCAGTTCAAAGTACAGTGGGAGTTTGCATTGTTTCAGCAAAGGACATTAGGTATTAGTTTAGGCTAGAAACATTTCTTCCTTGATACGCTAGATTTCTTCATGCATGGGAGTGTTTTGTTTTTTTTTAAATGAGCATGGAGGAGTGCTTGGACCTGCATGCCTTCCTCACCAGCAGTTTGAAGCAATACAGCCCAAACTGAAGTCATCGGCTTTAGTGACAATTAGGTCAGAGCAGCTTCCTGCTAAATAAATAAGGTACCATCTCATGAGAGGTCACAAAGCTTGAATAATTTTTCAGCTGTGCTGGATGGAAAGCCAATAGTATTGGCTCCTCTTTTATACAGTAGGGTGAATTCTAAAATCCGG